CAGTCTGTGAAATAAATTACCAATACCGTGTAAACTGCACTTTGGTTAATGGTTCACAGTCAGTTTGACGTCTAGAGGGTTGAGGGGCTGAAGGTGTCTGAAAGGCTGAAGGGTTGAAGTGGTTCGAAGGGCTGAAGGGGCTTGAACCGTTGAGGGAGTCCCATAACATATCAGGGCTGAAGTGTTATTTTCAATAAGGATGCATCAAATTTCGTAATATTTAGAAGCAAACTGTAACAGATCTCCATTGGTAACCCGTCTTATATTTTTAATAATTTCTATGATATAAATAGCCGTCTTGGAACTATCTTTTATCATTGCAAATTCGGTAACCAAACTCATAAGTGTACTTTCTAAGCCGTTTTACTTGCATAGGGCTTATCTTTTTATATTTTAATAATTTGTTTTTATTTTGAATAAGACAAGACTATCTTATATGCCCACGTACAGAGGGACAGCAAGCAAAACTAAATCGATAAAAGGTATGTAATAGTCGGAATAGGACGACGTATTCCTTCTACATATCGCCTTTTCGGGTAGGTGGATGATTTAGACTCTGCGCAGTAACCAGAAACATTAAAATGGACAATGTAAAACGCGAAAAATTACGCACAGCTTTGATGAAGCACTGTTAAAGACACAATCAATTTTGGTCGAACTTCAAAAAATATATGCACAATCTAAAAAAAAAAACAGCGTGCCGAAGGAGACGATAAAAAAGCTCTCGTTAATGTACTGGGACTAATTTAAAAGCGCGCACTCTAATACCATAAACAGTCTTATAAAACAACACCCATGACATAGTGAATGAACCCTACACATTCGGGATTAAAAGGTTGCCCTTGCAGGAGCAAACCAGCAAACCCACAACAGCGAAGCTGTCTTATCGGGGGGATCGGTGGCCGAGTACTGCTGGGGTGCAGTATTTTCTTATGACGTTCTGCAAAGAACCCTCTAAAAGGACCTCCCACTTACGCCCCAAGGAATTTGGTTTTTACCATTTGAAAAGGACGAAGGTGTGTCCCTAGACACGATCATGCTGTTGGGCCTTCACAGTTTCTGGCTGTGCCGCTTGGCAGTGCGTCAGGCAGATATACATGTGCCTCGTGGACATATATATTTCGTAGAGCACATGTGTTTTATGCATGAATTGTACATGGCCCAACAAACTCGACCTGAATGGTTGCCTCTTCTAGAGGAGCTGGCTAACCTTAAAAATCTTTAGCTTTTGGCAACAGCCAGGTGTGTTGGCGTCTTGAGCCCGGCTCTGAGCATGTGCTGTTGCCTTAACGTTCTCCTGAAACCAAGCAAAAAAAAAACGATCGGTGGCCGAGTGGGTAAGCGCACCTCATCTCTAAGCAGGAGTAAAGGCCCGTTCACACTCTCGCGACCAAGTACGACTGAGAGAGACGAGATCTCTTAAAACAAATTTAATGATTTTAGAATGAGGGAACACACTGGCATTATGGCGCCATCTATGCGGTGACCCTGGAACTGCATTTCACAAGGGCGAAGGTTTTGCGGGATTTTCGAGGTCAAATGTGCGTAATACCCATAGAAAGGCTCGTTTATAACATTGACAAAAGTTTTTCGAGCAAAGAAAGAAAGGATAATGCGCGAGAAATAAAGAAAATATGCCGGACCGCCGAGTTTACACTGCTTCCCAATAGATGGCGCCAGTGTGCTCTCTCGTTTAAGAAGTTTTAAGGAACCCAGGTTTAAGAGGTCGCAAGAGTGTAAACGGGCTTTTACAAAAGCTCGCGCTGCTAAACTCGGGAATACTGGGTTCTGTCCCCACCCCTGACTGTTACGATTTGGATGAGGATCGTGGCGTTGTCCTGTCGTGTATCACTGCTGCGTGGTGCACATTAAACACTGTGGTGCAGCAGTTGTACTATTCTGGCAAATTTTTCACGTACAGTTAAAACACCAGACGCCAATTAAGGCGAACTTGCGGATGTACGAACGTACATAACAAATTATATTTAAGCTATGCTTTTGAAAGTCACCCTCTCCTTTCTTTTACGGCACCACTGGTTCCCATTATCAGCATAAACTCGGCGAGCATTTTTTTTCTACTTATTTTGTTCAAAATATTATGGCAGATGTGAACAGTACCGTGTCCAAACAAATAGGTTCATATATTTGCAGTACCTTTGCGCCATTTTGCCATTGGAGTGATGTGTGTGTCGTAGATTGCTACTGCCCTTTGTGTTAAAATAACTTAAAATGAATTATCTTATTGACGTTCGAATTATCCCCTTCTGTGCAAATTCCGCAATATGCTCCGTCTGACTAAATTCTGCGTATGCTATGCATTCATTCACATCTGTGCAGACGTAATTTAAAGTTGTCTCGGCAGCAATACAAACTTGCCGGCATAAGTTCACCCAACGCTTGTGATCATAAAAAAAGGGGCCAATCTCCAATGAATACATCATATCTAAAGTTTTGCATAACTAGAAACAGTTTCGGCGCACACTTAATTAAAACCTGCGGCTAGCCCTACTGAAAAAAAACAACATTTGGCGCCTGTATGAACATAAACGGGTCCATACCGGTAACAGTTTAGCCATACCGGTCACCAGTTTGCCAAAGGGGTCGCCCGTATGGCTCAAAGGGGTCCCCCGTATGAGCCATAACGGTTACCTATTTGGGCAAACAGGTCACTTCTTTGGCAAACGGGTCACTCGTCGGGGCAAATGGGCGACTCGTTTGGGCAAAGTTGTCGCGTGTTTGCTCAAACCGGTGAACATGTTGCACAAGCGGGTGACCGCTGACCGTTCAAACTGTACCGGTTTATTCAAACGGCTCTCGGGAGCCCGTTTGATATTGAACGTACAGATCGGCGGCCTGGGCACGCCTAGCTGTTTGAGCCGTGGCAGCCAATGTTTTCGGAAGGCTGGGAGCGCCGGTTCATTGATTTCAGATCGTCCGCGTAATGCGAGAAATACTATTTATATTTTAAGTGCGCTGATGTGCGCTTATACTGCAACTAAAACTAACACTTATTTTTTTCTTTCTTTTTTAAGTAAACGCGACGTTGGTGAGCCGATATTTTTGACAGAACTTTAAAACTTTTTCCATCTTTTTTTCCTCAATTTTCTTATTCAGCTCGAATCTCTCTCGCAGAAGACGCGACCGCATGAAAGAATGTACTTCTACAGTCCGTTTCACTTCATTTCAAGACGTGGCGAAGGTAGCGCGAACATGTGCCTGCAAGAACATCGAGCATTGCGAGAGCTCGCCCGCTGTTGCAGCAGTCAAATTACGAGCTCGTGCTGGGTGCTTTTTTGGCTCGGGCGCAAGCCGAGCTCATGCCGACGCCGTTTTCCAGCGTGCGTGCTGATATGCGCGCGTTTCGCCTGCTTTCCAAGGCTGCAAACGCGACGTGCAGTGGCAACTCCAAGAGAGAAGAAAAGCACGTGCCGTGTACAGCGGTCCGTGCACCCTCTCCCCTAGCATTCACTGCATTGCCACAAAAAGCCAACCGCAATTTTTTTTATTTTATATATATACATATATATAATGCATGAGGAGAGGGTTGCGAGGGAGGGGGTGGGGTGTCCCGGTGTTTTGCTCCTTGACCTCGCCGTCGCCCCCTTCCTCCTCTCTGGTCGGCTCTGTCACGTGACCAGAGAGAGGGTAGGGCACGCTCCACGCTGATAAGCATATCCAGATCCGGCTGCGCGTGCGTTGACAGTCGCTTGTTTCTTTGTCTGCTTGTTTTCCGTTGCAACTTCGTTTGTCCTGCCTGCTTCGATCTGTCGCCTTTCCCTACGGTCATATAAGAATGTGTCTCGACAACGTATGGGATGTGCACCAAATGTTCGAAAAGTCCTACGTGTATATCGGCAACAAGCGATTTTTCAAAAAAGTTAGGAATTCTTGCGGTTTGGCTGGGTTCGGCAAATGACAGCTTGTGCGCCGCATCGTGTTCAGACTTCTACGAGCCTTCCTTCTTGTTCTTGTGTTCGTCCTGCCTTGACCGTGACGACCAATATCACGGATTACATCTTTCAAGTCCGCTATTATTATGGTAAGTGCACTGCAAAATACGTGTTGGCAACGATTGACCGCTCTTCTACGCGTACTCTTCCAGGTTATCCGTAGAATTATGCAGCGCCTATTCACGCGGCAGCCGGAAGAATAATTTGCCCGAAAGTCTACCTTTATAGTCTAGAATTACCTCGGTTCTTGTTTGCTTTGCAATCTTCTCAGTTGTATAAAAGCTTAAAGTGCCTCGCACATTTCACAGATCGCTTGCACGTTTGTACTTGTCGTCAGAAGGGGCAATAAATTTCGATGAGAATTTAAAACAACCCTTTGTGTCTGTTTTTCTGTCCATTTGCAAGCACCTACACGACCACATTTGTTCTACGTGTTTTCTCCATGTTATAAATACGTTTATGAGTTTCGGGACGTCTTAAATAAGTTTAAAATAACCAACCTCCCAGACGATACCCGTAACCCATTTAGGGCTAGCCATTCCGAATGGCACGTTCAAACGTGTGGTCACGTGCCAGGTCCAACGGGCACCCGTATCAAACGGGCACCCGTATCAAATGGGTACCGTTTCGAACAGGTACCGTTTCAAACGGGTACCCGTATCTCATAATCACGTTTGATTCGAACGGATCGACAGGTTTGATTCAAACCGGTCGACCAGTTTGAATTTCAAATGTTTTTTTTTTTTTTCAGTAGGGAGTGCATTTCCAGTTACTTACCTAGACACGAAAGAGGTGTTTTTTTTTTTTTTTTTAGACCGAGATTATTTGCGTTGTGACCGGGATGTTAACTAAGACAAAAAAAAACTTTAGCGTGAATCTATGAGAGAATAAAACACTTAGTATAAAGTATAATTATATAAAGGTTAGCTGTCTATGCAGAACAGTCGATTTAAATCGCCTGTGCGCCAACATCACGTCTTTTCCCGTCTAAACGTGCCAAAGTACCTGCTGAATTCGACGAAAGCAGCGCCACGAATAGAGCGTATATACCTCTGGGCCCCAGCAGTCCGGGCATGCCTTGGGGCCCATGCGGGCCAGTGGTGCCAGGCTCCCCGGGAAAGCCACGATCGCCTCGCTCTCCTCGGTCGCCCTTGTAGCCGGGGTTCCCTGTAACAGTCACACGAAACGAGGCGTTCAGTGGGATGTCGGTTAGTTGACTATTAAACGCGAGACGCGGAGAGTTATCCATGTCTCCTATTTTCGATGGGTACGTCCATAACGCACGTACGCACTAACATGTCCTAGATAAAAAAAAATTAAGCGTTTCCCTGCGTCACTAAAAAAGGCCACCGGAGACCAGAAATTGGACACGACCCCACAGTCTGTGTTAGGATAGGTCTCGTGCTCTCACTGAGGGGACACGCGATCTAGCCAAACTCTGATGCCGCAGTAGTGTCCAATCTATGGCCAATCTGTGACTCAGAAAAATTGAGTACTAAGGCTTTCTTATTTCGGAGGAGCTGGGTAAACACACCAGTCTAAGACGCGTTCCAGACACCACATTAAAAAAAACTTGAAGTGACTTGGCCATTTAAAGTATACCACGTTTAAAATAATAAACTCCGAGTGCGCCTTCCCGGCGAACACGGACACAGACAATCACAACGAATATTGTAAGGATCCCCGAGAATATTATTCCGTCTAAAAATAGCAATGTGGGCAGAGACACTGGCCAACTCAAACGTCTTGCTAACTGCCACTTGCGCACGTGGCGTTTCTTTAGTCTAAATCTGTTTTTAGCTTCGTCGTTCGCTGGGATCCTTCTAACCCTTATATTTTAGTAGTGCATTCTATGATTGTTTTGTATGTATGAGAAGAGCGAGTCTTACCAAAAACTTTTACTATTTTATTTCTATCTTAACCTCTATCTGCGAAAAAAGGTATTGCAAATGGTAAAGCATTTTGTACAGTGAAATGACTCGAGCGTCCTAGATACTCTCCACTATTGTGTCAGTCATTTTGCCGAAGACGATGTATTTTACTACGAGAGAAGTTTATTTCTATATGTATTTACGGTTTAGAAAACTTCACAGATAATCGAATTAAATGTAGGAGACAAAATATTTCGATCAGGACATAAATAATTCTCATTTTCCATATGATAAAGAGGTCGAGGTAAAAACCACCAAACAGGGGAACAGTACGTGCCCCGCAAGCTGAACTGACTCAACTGGTCGAATAAGCATAATATAAAAAAATTATCACCCAGGTAACCTTTATGAAACATGATCCTGTAAATATTCGAAAGTATTCACCTGGATGAGGTAAATGTTAGAAACGTCGCCATCTACGCTGGTCAACTAGTAGCCGAAGAATTCGACCTATATTTCTCCTCTGCGTTTTCAAATAAAGATATGTATACACTTGCTGCCGCCACCTCAGCACGATTAAATGAAGAGTTTATTTATTTTCACGAAGTGTTTAACACCTTACTAAATTTCAGTTTGATGTTTCGGAATGGACCTGATAAGATTCCGAAAGCCTTTCTTCCTTGATATGCCGAACCTATTTCCCACTTTTTGACAGTTGTCGTTTGCGCTTTCTTTGATTTATGTGTGCTTCAACTAGACTGGCACGACAGTTTATGACTTAGCAGCTACATTTGACAAATCTGAACAGGTAGATATGATTTTTATTTTATTTTAGTGAAGACTTCGACAAGGCCATACATATTAAACTTTATAAATTAGAGCGACTTTTTATACCAACGTAAATTGTCACTTGTATAGCCTTATACTTGTCTAGCCAAATTCAGTATGTTCAAGTCGACGGCCATTCTTCCGGTACCCTGGGTGCTACTCCTGGTGTTCCCCAGTATAGTGTCCTCAGTCCATTATTGCTTTTGGTTTATATAAACGATATTGTCGCTGTGGTGGGCTCTCATGTAAATATTCACCTATTTGCGAATGATTGTATTTTGTCAAGAAGATATGCACTTGGGCTAAACAAATATTACTACAAATATTAGTAGCAGGTGGGAAATACCGCTGATTTTCACGAAGCGCTTTGTTTACGTGTGAATAGAAGAACTAAACCCTTAAAGTTCACTTAAAATAACACCATAACAAATATTTATCAGTAAAAACATCTTGGGGTAAATTTAAAAAGAGTAATCTTCGCAGGTCACGGCATATTCAAAATTTCTTCTCCTCTGCATTCATGGAATTATGGTCTCAACAGGTCAAACTTAAACATGCTCCAACCTCCGTTATACTGCAAGCTGGTAACTTACTGGAAAGATTAAGAATTGAACATAATAATATAATTCGGGACCCCTACACAAAATAAACTCACGTCAAAACTTGGAATAGTTTAAAAATTCCGATTGGTTTATTAATGGAAAGCAAAAAAGACCAGACTCCCAAACCTTGTTGATGTCGAAAAAGAACATAATATCTCCGGAAGCACGTAGAATGATCGTGAGACTTAATCTTATATTTATTTTGTCATCACAAACTCTGTATTAACTCAAGCTAATATATACCCTAACTATCTTCCAGGGAAATTAGGAACTACCATGAGTCTTCCCTTCGGTCAATATTTGCTTGAACTAGCATGTTTTTAAGTTTTCATTTTTTCCAGGAATTATATCAAACGCATGCCTTGTTTTTATATTGTGATCTTTTGTTGTACCTCTTAAATGCACCTACAAGTGCAGATACATGTACAGAATTTTAAACATCAATGGTTTGATGTATCTTGGTACAATAGCTTTGGCCAGGGATTAAACAACTTCCGTATATTTACAGGCACATATGCATGACATCAAAGTTCGACAGAAGAAACAATTTGACGCTCGTAGTTGTTTAAAACATCACAAGGATTGCCTTCAGTTATTTCTTTTTTAACCAAGTGAGTTCGGTTTGCAATATTTGTTTTGGACATAGTCCGGTAATCTCAAGAAGGTACAAATGTGCCTAAGATATATCTTTATATTCCGAATTTCGATCGCCTGCGGTCGAACCGAGAGCAATCTACCAGAAAAAAAAAAACTCCATACATTACGCCCTCAAGGTTGTCGCAAACCACACTCGTAAATTTCAGCGATTTTAAAACTTAAAAAATCTCGTCAAAGCCGCACCCTGTCGTAAATGTTGAAGTGGTGGTTCGAATTGTCTCCGAAGGTTACTTGAAAAACAAAAACAATAGCTCTAACCAAAAACCAGTAGAAAGCCCTCCTGCCTTGGAAATTGCCATTTCTCTTTAGTTTTTTTTGTTTTTTTTTTTCTAGACAGTTGTTTTTGGCATTTGAGCAAGTTTGACTTATCGGATATTTTCGACAATTCCATCCTTATGTCCGAGAGTATACGATAACTTCATTGAATGTTCCTTGAATACCGTGTGATTAAGCGTAACTGATATTTCAGAAAGGAGTGTAAAGTTTTGGCTTTTGAAGTTCCGAGTTTCGGAAGGACCATTATAGCAGCTTTGAAATCCTTGCAAATGAGGCGACGATTTTGACATTGCGTATCAGTTACATGTTTGACAGAGGCAACAATTTTAGTAAATCTCTCTGTCAACTGAAGACGCTTTGTATGCCAAGCCAACTCACTTCACTGATTTTATTGCAAACACCGCAGTTGATTTTTCAGCTCTTTCAGGACCATGACCTTATAAGTGAAAAAAGGTTAGATTCATCACAGAGTTGTGTAGGCATAAAGAAATGCTTTATTAACGAAATGAGGTGTATTGGTTTTTGTTCTATGGTTGGGGCTCCTGTTAAAAACCGCGACATGGCAGCATCGACCCTTCAAGGGGTTAACTGATTCTCAGAAACCACGGTGTGTAATCAGGCACAATGACGCCTAGCGACAGATCTTTTGGCGGATATGAGAACATGCTCTAGTTGCCCAACTGTCCGCCAGTTCGTGACTGCCGTTTTGGTTGGACAAGTCGAGGGAATAATTTAACATATGTTCAAGCAACCTTTGAAATAAAAGCTCAATCGGTTTTGCTAGAAGCAGCATTGCAGGTGTCGCACGCTGACCAACAAGGCGGTACTGTATACGAGCAGCCATGTTATGAAGCAGATTTCATGCCGTGCAGATAATACATGTGTAAGGGATTGAATATGCAGTTCTTTAATGCACCAGGGCACATTGTTAAACTGATTTGAATATCTCTCTGAACTAGCTCAACAAAAAGTGAAACATCATGATGCTCACTTCCCTCAATACACCGTTATCTCAAATTCAGCGTAGTATGTAGATATCGCTAAATTTTGGGAAAAAAAGATATTATCAATTCTTTTCTTACCAACATCAATGGCTCTAGATTGCTGGTAATGGTCATAGATGGATCAGATTTAACCTCATCTGCAACATATTCTGGAGCACAATATGAAAATACACACACAATTGCTTTAACTTTCCTCGTGTAGAGCATTGATTCACTATGACACTCTGACTTGATGAGAAATGGTTTACAATACCAGCAGTTTCAAAAATTCAGGCCTATACATAAGCTCAATTCATAACATTTGTATTCCGCGAAACGGTTTCAGGGATACTTATGTTTGTAGGAAATGTGAATGTAATCTCAAGGATACCATGAACTGATTAATATACGCATACACTGCTAAATGCGTTTTCAACAAACCTGCATCCAGAATTAGTGATTTCGTAGTAATATTGCATTTACATTTCAGATACTGGTGGCGTCTATCGTCCTTTGCAACTCAAGAAAGTAGAGAGAGGGATTGGAAGGCCGAGGAGGAGGAAGCAGGCGGAACGCTACAGTAAGGAGGAGGTTTCCCCCTCTCCTCTCCGACGTTCCGTCTCCCCTACCTTCTTGAGTTACAACGGACTATAGTAACATATTTATTATCAGCTCTTTCATTGACAGAAACAATAGCCTATCATGAATTGTTAATCAATCACGTAGTGTTACGTGGTAATTTATAGTTACCCTCGATATACTCAAGGAAGCGTTGTATTTAATTTTTAATTTAAAGAACAGACATCTTTAACCAACATATGCAGCTCCAGAAGTCGCAGGCTTTTGATGTTGCACATGTTGAGTTAGTACAATGTTCCCTTGAAGGTAACTCTTTGTGAGATATGGAAATAATGCAACAAATTCTTAGGCCTAAAACTTCAATCGACACAAAACATAATTGGATAGGAAACTATTAAGTCTAAGTATTTTTTTTGTGTGTGTGTGGTCGTAGTTTTGGGTTTGGGCATCGCCAACCGTGTGCTTGGCCCAAAAAGGAGCAGGTGAAGCAGTATAAGAAACACCCAGGTTCCTACATCCAGCTAATTTGGACGAGATCACCAGAAACCACGAGAGGATGAGAACATGTAAGCTTTCGCGAAAAATAAACGAACAACGAAATGTACGAAAAGCAGTGCAAACCTAAACCACCCAGAGGCAGCCACCGAGATCGACCCAGCGGCCGCCTTCACAGAAGGCCTGGGGGTTATACCGCATTGTGCGGTTTCTGCGGTTCCATTAACGGCAGAGATTGCCATTACTCAAAGCCGAGCAAGCATCCTTCATCCCTTTCACATCGTACGCAAACCTTTTTTTTTCGTTTTCTTTCATTTACCTCCACGTGGGAAAGCACCGGTGCTGCAATCAAGAATCCGCGAGGGAACGCAAATCTTGTTCCCGACAACTCGTTCCGTCGGACCTAGATTAATGTTACACAAACCCTCCGAAACATAAACCCACCCCTAATACATTTTTTTATTCCTTCAAAATATATACTGCGTTGTTTTCTAGCCTATCTAACGCCATTTAACGGGTTCATTGGCAGCGCTTCACCATGCCTTCGATCGCGTCGCGCATGATGCCGGAAAGTGTTGTACGTGAAACTCGCCAATTGTAACATTTTTTTTTAAAATTTAGTGATGTTGTGGAGCCTAGATAGAATGCGTCGCCGGCTAGTGCTTTTACCGCCTCCAGATTTGTGCGTTCATTTTTTTTCCGACTGATGACGTCAAAGACGTATCCTGCCCCGGTCTAGATGGTATCAGAACAGCGAAGCTGAATACATCAGTAACTTGATCTGCTACACCTTCTGCAGTGAGCAATTCGATGGACCCTTCTGTATACAGAACTTTGGAAGCTGCGACGACAGTGACATTTACGCTCGTTCGTCTTCTTTTCACCGTACTTCTACGACCGACCACCAGGAACGCGACAACCTAGACCATAACACGTGGACGGTATAGGACTCTAAAGGCACCTGTTGAAGACGCCTTTCAGACACCGCCGCATATATTCCGCAGAGAAGGGCCTTATAGAATGCTTCTTGGTCTAGCGTTACCGGTGTAGTGTTACAGCCTCTAGGTGGCAAAAGATCTGAAGCGGCCTACAGCTATGGATGTCACGGATTTTTTGTCGAGTCTCAGATTTAACGTCGAACCTCGAGCTTGGACCGCTTCGGTGAACCTGTACTCTCCAACTTGTAGAGGTTGGAGAGAACTTTATTTTTCAATTTTGTTTTGACTCTTCACTTAGAATTCTGCTTTTAGTTCGCCGATGTCAATCATATATATATATATAACTTAGAAAGGGATTGCCTAAGATGTATATCTATATATACTGCTTTAGTAAATTAGTTCACGTAAATAAAGAAACAGGTCTCGTAATATTTCACATCCCCCACTGCCAGGCGGCGCGAGCCTCTTTTTAATTTCTTCGGATTGCCAGCAAGGTCGAACTTCAGCAGAACGTGTCTGCAATTCGGTGATGAAAGTTCGAAAAAGTCGAAACGACTCAAACATAAACCTCGGCTGCGTTCAAGGGCAGGTCATACTACTACTCCGGGCAATACGCTATACTCTTGTAACATCATATATTATGACATTCAGATGGTGATATGAGCCCACCCCAGGCTCACCTGGGATTCCGGGTGGACCCTTTTCTCCGGAAGGACAGTACCGCCTGGCCGAAAGGCAAAATTCTTGCAGCACCACCAGCTGGAAAAGATGAGAACAACATCCGGCAAATATAGTGATATGGCTCGTTAGCGCAGGTAACACGAAACAAAAATTAAAAATGCAAGAGCTGTTCGCTACCAAATTTCTTGTTTTTATACGTCGTACCATTATGCAGTTGGTCTTAGTTTTGCATCCTCAACCTTTATTCTTACGCGGCTTTCTTTGTTGCGGTGCATTTTTTAATCACTGATGGTAAGCTATTACGCAGATTATTGTCTACATTTGTAGTCAACGTTATTTTATGAATTACTAAACGACATGATATAATGGTTTTTGTTATGTATGTATGCTATATCATGCATTCAGTGTATTAATGATTATGTATCTTACGTTTAGAATTCCGTGTTTACGGTAGGTACCAATAAACTTGATTATTACCTGTCGAGGTGGTTCTATACAAATTGAGGAGAAAAAGGTAAGCCCCGAATCGAAACAGTCTTTGAATAATAAAAAAATAATCTTTGAGAGAAGAAAATTATAGTAACCAGCTTTACTTCATGATGACCCGGAACGCGGTGTCAAAGTGTCCGGGAGGCTTATTCTTGCTTCAGAACTACGCATCTTATCTTAAGAAGCGAAAGTGTGCAGGCGAGCTGGTTAGGAAACATAATAACCCAAACGATGAGAAACTGAGAGAGTAAAATAACGTACAAAACAACACAAAATTTCAGACGCACCTGGGTTTATTCGCAAGAAAACAGCAACATGTAGCCGTCCATACGGACAGGAAAGAGGGAAGAAAAAAAAAACATGCTGCCGTAAAGGTTTCACGCAACTCAGCCAGACAGATTTAACTTCAACCCAGACACCGCACCAATGGCAGACACCCGCCGCCATGCGACCCGACATGATAATTCGCGTCTAGGCTATGTGAACCGAGCGAAAGCTGAAAGCTGTCTTTCGCTCGGTTCAATAGCTTTGTTTTTGGTAGTGTCGAGGGTTGGGTAGTTCACGGGGGGTCGATAGAATTCTAACCACCCCCCGTGGACTACCCACCCCTCGACACCACAAAAAAAAAAAGAACCGAAACTCATTTCGAAAGACATTTTTTCACGTGCTTTGTTCAAAACTAGAGAGGCTGGCTACGCAGTTTCTGTGGTCCCATATTCTTAAGGTTCCTTTAAGATTATTTTACACGAATCACTTTTTTTTTTGCACAAGATTGAAGTTTCTTCACAGAACGGAAAACATGCTTTACATTCAGCATTATGTTGGCTAGATCTAAAAATAAATATACATTTTTCACACTTCTCTTGTTTTCTAAGAGTCGCTCATTCCCGCACCTACCCTTCCGGCCCCCGTAGCAGAGCCCGCCATCGAACGGAATTTCGTACACAACATCCTTGACACCACCAACAGGTGAATCCCTTATGCACCTTCACACAGCCTTGTTCTTGCTCAAACGCAAATAATATAAGAATACATAACCGATAATGCGGCTTAAAAACTACATTTGTTCGAACTTATGAGCCAAAGCTTTCGGAATGTGCGAAAGCCTCTGAAAGAATGGTATTAAAATAAAATTTATCTTCAGAATACACTCAGAGCCCTTCGGTCTCTCTACACTTTGTCTAGAAAAGGTATACCCAATTAAGTCCAATATATAACTACCTTACCTTCACCGATCCAAGTGTCTAACTAGCGGACTGTCAACAGAATATTTTTACAGCATTACTAATAGGGAACTTTACCACACCAACCTTCAGTTGTTCTTAATGGGTTATGCGTCTAACAAGACCGTCTTTGCTTCCTCTTTTCCATACAACCAACACAAACCTTTACCAGTTAACAAATGTAGATCTGAAAATTCCAACTTCCACAGGCCCGTGGAACTAGGCGCGATACTTAAAAAACAACTGGTTTCACTTTTGATTTCGAAACAAAATAATGCAATCCTCTTCAGTGTCACCCAAGATGACCGTACGCCAAATATTACTTTATATTTCTGTCAAAATGTTTCTTAAACGGTATGGCAAACCTCAGAACGCGCACGGTTTTCATTTTACTTCAACTTATTTTAACATTCTGCGAGCCCTGAGGCCAGAGCAGGTTTGTATTCTTGAAGTACAAACACACTTAAATATTAGAAATGCTAGCAAGAAAACCACACATATTTTCACTGTTAACAGGTATCTATAGATAGGCCCTTTTCATTCATCGATACATAAAACAAGACATTTCTAAAAGAGTCATTGTTGAAGCGTTGACGTACAATAAATTTGTGATGTCTCGTTCTTGTTGCGTTCTTGAAGCTTCTATATGCAACATAGTTTTGACTATCAATTAAGTAATCGCCGCGTAGCAATTTTAAAAATAATTTTAACAGAGTCACCATTATTATGGGGCTGATGGGCAGAAGGTTCGCATTGAAATGTGGGGAGACTGTCTGTGGATCGATAACGATTGAAAATAAACCGAAAAACTTTACTTCGTATGCGTTTTATTTGGTGCAAGGTTTCTTGTGTAAATGGTTCCAAGACTTGGCTTGCATATTCAATCGTTGACAATAGCGGTGGCTTCTATGCTGTTAATTTGAGCTCTGTACCGGCGAATTCTATGTTCCGTCTAAGAGTCCAGTATTTTCTTAGCGCCCTAATGGAGAAAATTTCAATGTGTCCCATTACAGTTTCTATTCGGTCGAAAGAACTTCTATGTATTTGTACTCCTGTGTACATTTTAAAGGAATCGCCGCAACACAGTAGGTGAAGTGTGCGGGTGATACTTGTTTTCGTTAAGTTCGTGTATATAGTTTTGTATGTATTTTATTTTTTTATTCTTCACACCAGCTTGTCTATTTTTGTAATGGTCATTCAATGTCTTCTGATTATTGGATTTTTTTATATCTTAATAAATAGCTGTATCATCGGCAAACTGTTTAATATTAACACCAGCTTCAAATCCTCGACCGACGTCACTAATGTATGTATGTAGGTTGAATAGAAACTGCCCAGGAACAGACCCCTGAAGCACTCCTGACATAACGGATACGTTGTTTGACATTGTACTATTCAACTGCACGAACCGCACTTTACCTACCACATAAACTTCAAGCCAGATCAAAATTTCATATTTGTTAAAAATATATTTGAGTTTATGAAGTATTTTTGTGCAGAGTGTCGAACCGAAATTTTGATCGGTTCGGTTCGGGTTCGGGTTCACGGCTTTCGGTTCGGTTCCGGTTCAGTTCCGGGGAGCAAAAATAACGGTTCGAACTGGCTTGAACCGCTAAATTTAGAATAAATTTTCCGCTTTGTTCTGGCAATAGGCACTATTTACGCCATGAAACGTTTAACTATATAGTATCTTCTATCGTCAATGCAAATCATTTTCGTTTTCAGGTACCAAAGGTTTTTGACGCAACAGTAAAACAAAATCTACATTATCGTGCATAACGTCGTGTTCATACGACCCAACATTCCTTTGTTTACAAGTCATATATATTTTGCCTGAATCAAAATGTTTAAACACATCAGGAAAAAGTTGAGCTTGTTGATACATACCTGTAAATAGATCAGGTTGAAATTTATAACTATACTGCTCTTTCCTGTCCTTTCTTTCCTCCTGTTTAAGTAAAGTTCGAAAGTTCAAGCTGATCTATTTACACAGTATAAAATGTTGACTGGCAACAGAAAGAATGAAACAAACTCGAGACAAGAAACGACGTCCCCCGTCCCGAGTTTGTTTTACTCTTTCTGTGACCAGTCAATGTTACCAACTTCAGTTAATATAAAATGTTGTCGCGAAGTGTACGTGGAAGGTCGCATAAAAATACCCGTGATTGGTACAACTTTGCGTCGCAGTATTAAAAGTTTAATTGTGATTGTGTCCTTGAACAAGTAAGGAATTAATTACAGCACGTAAAATCATGAAATGCGAAACTCGTGTCGATATATATTGTGAAATATTGTTTACGAAATACGTTTCGCAATGTATAAATAGGGACGACAGAACTAAGCTAAAAGTAATGAAAGTTTCAAAATGTCACGAAAGTTCCAGGACAATCCCTTTCAGACCATTTTTTTTATAGAAACACGAGCTGCAATTACAATGCTTGTTTTTCTAACCAAATATTGTTTACACTCAGCAACGCGATGTATGCGACTAAATCATGCAGAAAAGAATAATCGAAATTGTTCACTCTAATCTGTACGCACCTTCGCACTCAGATCGAATCCGCCCCGAAATAGCGCTTGCCGAAGCGAACATTTTCTCATACAGAATAAGCTGGCATAGCCTGGCTGTTGAAGTTTGTTCTTGACAAGATGCCGGTCAATTTAATTTGCAAATGAGCATCACCCTCACTAATTGATGATTCAAATGCGAAAGCGTTAAGGAGCTCAGGTCGCAGAAAAGCCGATATCGGAGGCGTGACTGGAAAATCCTGATTGGTCGATAGGGTCATGACGTCACAGCAACATGCCCTCGCGCAGGAATTTCAAACAACCCCCAATGCTCAAGTGAAACGTCACATGAGACTATTTCTTTTAGTCTCGCCTTCGCAAAACTTGTTAGCGTAATTCTGGGATCAAAACCACCCGCCTGACGACATTCCAGCGCGTGTCCAGGATTGGACACGAGAACTGCGGGAGCACTCGACTTCGCCACGTAACAATCAATGCCCCGGAGGAGACTCGGGTAGTGACTCGTGTCCAACCTCAGTGGTGATGAGAATATCCGGACTCTAACAAGGCCTGGAGCTCCAGCGCACGTTTTCGTCCTTTCCAAGCTCAGCGGGGGGGTATGATTAACGTTGGCGGCATAGGATAGGCACCAGGCCACGAGGTCGCTTCTGGCTCCGAGTTCAGGGGAAGAAAGATGCTCATATTTCTCTAATTTGTTTGACGACTGCCATCGCCTAGATAGAGGATCTAAGGCACGTTTGATCAGTCATTAACGTTAGGATATGATTCTGAGTAGTATTTAGTAAATGGATAAAAATCGTTTCCTGTTCCTTTAAACGAAATGCAGACGTGGTCGAA